CTTGCACTTCCTCCTGATAGAGCATCAATGTCAGAAAGAATGCTTAATTCACTTTTGATTGTTAAGGAGGGACTAAACATGTATGACCGAAGCCCACACCTTGTACCTATTACAAAGGATTTACTGAAATTAGCTGCCTCAGCACATAGAAATCATCAAGACCAATTGGAAAATGAAAAGAAGTTAAAAGAAAAAAAGAAACAGAAAAAAAGAGCAGAAGAGGATGCACAGAAAAATTTTGAAGAACATCAAAAGAGAGCTATTCATGTCAAGGAAAAGATTATGGCATTGCAGCAGAGTTTAAAACAGAAAAAAATAGAAGAAAGTGAAATATACGCGACAGGCCAGGTTTTGTTAGAAGCAGCAAACAAAAAACTGGAGAAGGCCATTAATAGCAAGAATATGAATGAAATACGGGCAGCACATGTCATGCTTGTTAGTGTTAAAAGTGTTCAAAAGCAAGAGGAAGCAAAAAAGAAGGAAGCTGAAAACATCCAGAAAAATCTTAATAAAAGAACATCATCTTTCATGACTGATTATTTACAGAAGAAGCCAAAGACTTATTAAGTATTCATGGTTTACTGGAAATATTACAGTATATACAAAAAGTTTTAAAATGTATTTAACCATAACAATAAAAAGAAAAAACTTTTACTGCTATTTTGCTGAGTTTTCCTTCCATGTTTTCACTTTGTTTTGTCACTACAGGTAGCTCTCGGTTTACACTGCAGTTCCATTCCTACAAAAGCCGGCACAAATCAAATCAGCGTAAAATGAATCCATATTTACAGTGAGGTATAGCGTTAGATTCTACATAAGTGAAAAATAAGCAAATAATTTTGTTTATTAATACAATATAATGCAAAATACATATAAATTTAATTTTTAAAATGTATTTTATCATAAAATAAAGTGAAATGTTTTTATTAAAAAATTTTAGTTTCAGATCTTGTACATTTTTCGGAAAAAAGAATCCATCTTTAATAACCTTTCCTACACTCGATGATTAAAAAATTAGCTCACAAGAATAATTTAAGAATAATTTATCATTGTAATCCTACGATTTATAGAATTCTACCAAATGATAAGAAGAAAGGAAACCGTAACAATAGTACAGGAGTGTATTCTATTCCTTTAAGTGACCACTGTTTTAATTCAGATCTCGTTTACGTTGGTGCCACTATGAGACTTTTAAAACAGAGGCTTAAAGACCATCTTTAATTGTTTACATTTTTGTTTTCTTTCATTGAGAATTTCGAAATATGGTCGAATATGATACTCCTTTTTACATTTGCACTTCTCTCCCAATCATTGTCTAACTCACAAAGTTCATCCGTCAAACTTTCCATAGTTGAAAGGATACATTAACCTGACGTAGAGCTACAGACAAGCGGAGACACTGATTGGTTGACCACTGGTTGCCGTAGCCCATATATAAGGTCAGCTTGAGCGGGAAAATTGAAGGTGGCTAAGAAGAGATAGATATCGTCTGGCCGATGAGAAGTAGGGTGCGACTATGCAGACGCGAATTTAGAGCGAGCGATTTAGTTTTCGCAAAGGATAACCATGTACAAACGAGAAGCGAGAAATAACGCTGGCGAGAGCGAATTTCTGGTTCTCGCACATATCTGACAGGTTTTGATATTTATCGCATCTCGCCTCTTCTTGCCACATATTCTCATTCGCTTGGAAAATTCGCTTGCTCGCGTCTGCATAGTCACACCCGTGGATTTGTCTCACTAACGATAATTTGTGATTGCCGGAAGTGCTACTGCATCGTAAAGTGTTTTCCTGAACGATCTGATACGGGATACATTCATTGGAACTTTGGATTCGGACACCATTTATTGGACTATTAAGTTTAATAAGTTGACTCGTGGGTACCTAAATGTTTAGTATTTTAATATTAATTTAATGCAAATGTATACATACCCAATAATATTAAACAGAAAAAATAAATATATTCAATAAAAATCTTTGTTTTAACGAATATACAATGTTGCGGCTCGGTAAATACGTCAACACTGAATGAAAATCAGTCTAGCATAGGGAAAATCAGGGAATTACACAGCAAATTGCGCAGCGGCGTAAATTGAGCCGGAGTAAACCGAGGGCTGCCTGTATTGCACTCACTTTTTCTGTATTTCAACTCACTTTTCTCACTTTTTCAGAGGGTAAATGGCACTCCCAGGCCTGATATAGCCATTAAATTCTTTTGGGGTATTGCCAAAAACTATCGCAAAAAAATGAATCATGTAACAATAAAAAAAGACTTTTCTTTACTAGACATAACTGTCTACAAAAAATTTTTCAGAAACAGTAATGAGAAAAAACTCGTGGAAAAATACTTTTTCCCACATTTATTCTCCACTACTTTGGGATAGCACTATACCTGACTATCCCACTGTTGAAAGGTTAATATATTATGATCAACCTATACTTGTTTTTCCTAAACCATGGCTTTTTTTATATTATTGAAAGCAGGTCATCAATCCTTTCTTACCTGGTATTGGCAATTAACTAAATTTTTTAATATTTATTCCCTGTTTTTATTTCTTGGAACATTTCTCATTTTTTAGGATATTTTGTTTTTATCTTTGTCTAAAACAACTTATTTTTTAATTTAATAAATAAAGCTTTAAATTTCTTAAAAGAATTATAACAAGTTTATAAATTCACTTTATTTTAATAGGCATTTTGGATTTTAGTTGAAGATGTGGATAGTGAAGTTATCTTACATCATGAATACTTTCTGTTAAAAAGGTAATTTTTTTTATTAAACATAAATAATTTATTGTTTTATAAATTGCTAAAATTTATTTTATTTTTTTTATAGTAAATTTTCTCAGGATGATCATATTGTCAAATTTTTTGTTCCTGTTTTTGAACCACTGCCTGCACAGTATTTTATTAGAATTGTTTCAGATCGTTGGATTGGTTAGTGAAATTATTTATTGTTTAACTATTGATTTTAAATTTTGATTATAAACTATATGATAGCTATATAACTTAAGTAGATAATAAGTTGCCTTTTGTTATTTAACTGAAAGTGTTTGTTTCACATTATAGTTAGATTTTGAAAATTGCATTTAAAATTACAATGGCAACATTTTCTGAATTTCTGAGAATTATCTATATTTATCGTAATGCTAATTGACTTTGTTTTTTTAATTAGGTTCAGAAACTCAGTTGCCTGTATCTTTTCGGCATCTTCTTCTTCCTGAAAAATATCCTCCACCTACAGAACTTCTTGACTTGCAACCATTACCTGTTTCTGCTTTGAGAAATTCGGTCTTTGAATCATTATACAGTGAAAAATTTCCTTACTTTAATCCAATTCAAACTCAAGGTAAAATTGTTCTTTCTTCATTTGGTGATAATTATTAAAAACAAAATGTTTACTATTAATTATTTATTTTTTAGTATTCAATACAGTCTACAATAGTAATGATAATGTTTTTATTGGTGCTCCTACTGGAAGTGGAAAGACAATTTGTGCAGAATTTGCAATTTTAAGATTATTTTCACAAATACCTGAGGGTCGTTGTGTTTATGTTACACCAAAAGAAGCTTTAGCGGAGCAGATTTATAATGACTGGAATAAATTTGCTCTTTTATTAAATAAAAAAGTTGTATTGTTAACAGGTGAAACAGGAATTGATCTTAAACTTTTGGCAAAGGTAAAGTAAAATGAAATAATCTGAATTAAGAACCAATTTATTAACTTTATAACAATAATTAATAAACATTTCTATTATTATAAAAGTTAAGATTTTTTTATTGTTATTGTTGTTACTAGGGAAACATAATTATTAGCACTCCAGAAAGATGGGATGTATTATCTCGTCGTTGGAAACAGAGAAAGAATGTTCAGAATATTAATCTTTTTATTATTGATGAGTTGCAGTTAATTGGTGGAGATGATGGGGTAATATAAACAAAAAAATTAAATTCCATAACATTAGTTTATTGTTTTATAAAATTTTAAAATTTGTTTTTAGCCTGTCCTTGAAGTTATTTGTTCTCGGATGCGTTACATCTCATCTCAAATAGAACGACAGATTCGTATTATTGCTCTCAGTTCTTCTCTTGCTAATTCTAAAGATATTGCACAATGGTTAGGAGCTGGTACTAATGCAACATTTAATTTTCATCCTAATGTTCGTCCTGTTCCACTTGAACTTCACATTCAGGTAAATAAATATCTGTGTAAGTTTTTCATTTTCATATTGTTTTATGCAATTATCAAGTTATGTTGTTTATTTTATAGGGATTTAATATTACTCATAATGCCTCTAGACTTCTAGCTATGAGTAAACCTCTTTACCAAAGCATAATTAATCATTCTCCAAGGAAACCAGTTATTGTGTTTGTACCATCACGTAAACAGACCAGAGTAACAGCAATTGATATCCTTACATTTTGTGCTGCAGAATGCCAACCATCTCGTTTTCTTCATTGTTCTGAAGATGATCTAGAACCTTATATTCAAAGAATAAATGATAAAGTAAGAATGTACAATTCATTTAGTGATTACATTGTAAAAATTAATTGAAAGGTTGACTTTTTTCTAAATGAAATATATTTTTATTTTAACTCTATTTTATATATTTTTTTTCTGAAATTTAATGAGATGTTTTTGTTTATCATAGTCATAGAGCATTATTACCATGCTTTATAGTAAAGCTCAGCCATACATGTAATGTTAAAGTGTCAACTTTGACCTTTAACATTGCCACAACAAATTAACTGATTTGGATGAAATTTAAAATATTTAGTATCCAAGATGAGTACTGTGGATATCTTAATTTTAATTAAATAAATTCATGAGGGAGATTAACGACACCAAGCTACCAAACAATGTAGAAGGAATCTGCATATATTTAATACTGCTTTTGAGAGCTGACTGTCTCCTGTTTGCCCTTTTGAAAGTTTTATTTAAAAATATTGAATATTTATAAAATAATAGCCATTTTTTAAATTTTAACATATTAGTGATCAATTGTCTATCACATGATAATGTATGCAGGCTAATGGGTTACTGTCACTTGAAAATAAAATTATTGTGAGATCTCAGATAATTATCACATTAATTCACATCTTGTTATTACTTTTGATCTATTAATGCAAGCCTAGTGATTTTAACAATAAATTATTTATAAAATAATATCCCAGTTTTTAAATTTTGGCATATTAGTCAATCAGTTATCATGTGGCATGACTTACTGCAAACTGTTAAGTGAATATAGAATATAGGCACTTTTGCACCAGGGAATTATAGTAATTCTTGTACACTCAAAAGCACTCACAGAATGACCAGCCATTTTCCCTGAGAACTAAGCCTAGCCTGTCTCAAGGACTGGTTCTCTGAATCTCTAGACACTCTTACATGTTTACTTTTCCTTGAAGATTGGCCAAGGTTTTGTTGTTTCCAAGTAGGCATAATCTTTGCTCACACAAATACAGTTAGGCCTAACAAATCATGAACACAATAGGTAACGGTTCAAAAAACCAGCCTTATGTACATGTACTGCCATTTAGCATGATGTCACTTTTTTTAATGCCTCTAAGATTTTGCTAATTATCTAATTATTTTTTTATGTCAGTTCTTCAAATATAATAGTAAACTTCAATAATAAACCTTTCTTATAGCTAATCCCTTGACAGAAAGTACTAATTCATGAGTCCCTATCTAGTGAACAGAGAGACAAATAGACAAATTTTTAATTTAATCAATGTAGATTTTGAGATGATGTGTATCTAAAAGCCTCCTGAACTGACAGATTCAAAATATGAAGTTTGGTTAAAATACATTCAGCCATTTTCCTGTGATGTGGGAACAAACATTTTGACCACTACAGTTTTATTTATATAGATTATTTAATAAATATTAATTTAATAAGAGATAGCACTTAACACTTCCCTCTAGTGACAAATTATTTAATAATTAATTAAAAGTAATCACTGAAAAGTAGTTCCAATGTAATCCAGTAGTAGTTTGGCTTTACAAATTTATCAGGTTTCTTGATGTTTGTTTAAGTATATTGTTTTAATATCTTACTTAAGTTAAATTCTATAATTTTTGCTTTTAATTGCAGACTCTGAAAGAAACTTTGTGTAATGGAGTTGCATATCTTCATGAAGGTCTTACTGCTTCTGATCGTCATCTGGTTGAACAGCTATTTAATAGTGATGCAGTGCAAGTTGTTGTTGTTTCCCGTAATTTGTGCTGGGGAATGTCCCTTGCTGCCCACTTAGTTGTTATTATGGACACACAATATTATAATGGGAAAATACATACGTAAGTATTTGAATGATTATTAATTCAGTGTGCATAGATATATTAAATAACACAATAATATGATTTTTAATATAAAAAATAATATGTAAAAATTAATGTTAAATGTTGATGTTTAAAATCTCTATTTTTAGTTTGTCTGATTTATTGGTTTAGTTAACAAATAATTTTTTTTGATTAAATTAATTTTCTGAATAAAAAATGAAGAGTATTAACTAACTTTTTCAGAAAAATTACCAATATTTTAGAATTTGAAAAGGATAATGGATTAATACAAGAATAAGTATTTAAGTTGATAGAAATACCTCATTCTAATATAATTAATAGTGCTTCATGATTGATAGTTGACTTTCATACAAATAATGTATAATCTAAACCTCAAAAAATATTCAAATTATTTATTAACAATATGAATAATCATGATTACTAATTATATCAATAATCATTTAGTCTATTTTATTAATATGGAAAGATTTCTAGCTTTTTCCTCTAAATAAATAATTTAAATACAATATAATGTTTATGTAACATCAAATTTTAGTTTATATAAAGGTTTTCTAAAGCATCATAATTTTCTTTTCTCATTTCTTGCTTATCATGTTAATAAAATCAACAATTAAATTTTTAAATATTAAATTATACAGGATGGGGAAAATAAATGGGAGAATTTTTTTGTATTCATGGGGTGGTACAAGCTTGTTCAGAAATGCTATGTTGTCAATAGTCTAGCATTTAGTAATCATGAACCAGTGGATAGATGCACAACATGCATTCATCATTAAGACATATTATAAAAATAATGATTGTATCATGGTCACTCAACAGTTATTTCAGCACCAGTTCAACATCCCATTGAAATAATCCAGTGCTGTCCTGACATGCCATTATGACATGGATTAAGAACTTTGAAAAACTGGTTCTGCACTTTAAAAAAAAAAAAAACCTCTGGCTGCAGCAAGTACTGTACATACCCCAGATAATATCACATATGTGAGGCCTCCATCATACATATTCCACAGATCTCTGCATGCCATCTTGCAGTTTAATGTTTTTGATGCAAGAATTAACCAGATTTCCTCTTGTTAATGACCAGACATGGTTCCAACAAGATATGGCAAAGCTCACACAGCCAAAATATTCATGATTGCTGTAAGACAGTTGTTTCCTCAGTCATGTCATCTCCAAGAATGGTGACACTTCTGGGCCTGTAAGATCACCTGGTTTGTCATTATGTGATCTTTTTTGTGGAGATATTTGAAAAGCAAGGTGTATATTAACCTCCCACACAATATTGCCAAGCTTAAACTAAGAATTAGAGAAGAAATAGTTGGAATCCTGTTGGAAATAATGCAATATGTAATGGTTGCTATACACTCAAGAATAGAATGTCTGCACCTCAAAGATGTCATTTTTCAAAAAAATAAAATGCTTTTTATTATTTTTAAGTTGATATATATGTAATTTCTTAAACAAACCATTTTACTGAGTTATTGAGCTTTTATAATCTCCTGTTTCTTTGCCACATCCTGTATAAAAATTATTGGTTTGCACACTTGGAAGTTAGTTCAAAAGACCATTATTTGTTCAATTCTAAAATATTAATGAATTATATTAAATTTTAACATTGCAGTAAAACCTCAATCTAATGGACTAATTAGGGAAAGGGTTGCCTACTGTTGCCAAGTTAATTAAATAAGATGTCTTATTTGAGTATATACAATGAATGATTTATATTCAGTGACTCATTGTTCAACCACACACTAGTGATGAATAAAAAAAGGTTTTTAAATTTTTGTCCATTAAATCGGGGTCTGTTAAATAGAATTTACTGTATTCTTAATATTGTTAAGGGCAGTTTCTCAAAGTATAGCTACCATGACTGAAGTTTCATGTAATAATTTATGGTATATATTTTATTAAATGATCTAAATCTGCTAAATTTCTAAAATCAAATTTTATTTAAAATCTCTTTATTGTATGATTTTTAAAAAAATTGAGAATATTGCACCTTTTGGAGATTCCAATTTTGTATTTATTAAAAATTATTTTTGCTTAACATGTTCTGTAAAGAATATTTATTTACTCAGTTGTGTGAAATTTAAAATTTATTACTTGAATTTTATTTTTTAATAGTTATGAAGACTTTCCCATAACAGATGTCCTACAAATGGTTGGAAGAGCTAATCGTCCTTTAATGGATGAAGATGGTAAAATTTATAAATTATTATGATATTATTTGATATGAGAAGTTTAATAATAATAATTTTCTCACATTAAAAAATTATATTTTCATGTGTGTATTTATATAGTTTGTTTAAATTTCTTTTTAAGGAAAATGTGTTTTATTATGTCAAACGTCAAAGAAAGATTTTTTCAAGAAGTTCTTATACGAGCCTCTACCGGTTGAAGTAAGTTATATTTTTATATATTTACATATATTTTTATAAAATACTAATTCATTCTTATATTTACTACTACTGTGCATTAAGACAAATATTAAATGTATCACATAAGCATTTATTCTTAACTGCACTTGAAAGTTAGGAATTCTCATTTTATATAAATTTTAGACATATTTAATAATTTTTATTATACATTTTTATAATATGAATTTATATGTTTTATACTTATTTGATACATATATATATGTGTGTGTGTTTATGTTTATCTTGTATAATTTAATAGAAGGAAAACAAAAAACAATTCTATCATATAAAATAGATAATCAAATTTTAACATATAATTTGATGACTATACAGAAATAACATAAATGTGTAATTAAAATATATTTTTAAAAACATAAAAATGAATTCTTCCCCTCTTTGAAATTCTTTGCTCTGCAAGTCCTAAGGGATTATTTTTTGTACCTATTGTGAGTTTAGCCAGGTACACAGCGGCATGGAGACTGAGACATTTAGGCCAGATCATCCATATAAATTTCAAAGGATTTGATGTAGACTTGAATGGTTATTTTACAGACATGGATTTATCTTAACTGCCATCATGTTGTTATTCTTAACATGATCATTGTTTAATTTTTTAAAAATTGAAAGTAATTTTAATTGAAATACAATTGAATGTTGTATAAGCTGAAATCTTTCTGTATCTTCTGGAATTTGACTTAGCAAAATTTACTATATTATATACTGGTGGTGATCCATAGACAGCAATATTGAAATGAAATATCAGAGAATATTGAGTGTTTTGATTAAAAATAAAATTGTAACCAAATGTATGAATGTTGTTTTGTTAATAGTTCCATAGGAAAGATGTTTGGGGAATATCATTTGTAAAACTTTTTATGCTATAAGCTGTATGGCTATTTCAGTTACAGTACTTAATTAAATTGCTTGAAGAACAATTTATTTTAAGTGTTTATTAATTCAAATGTCCAATCCTTTCTCTAGAGTCATTTAGATCATTGCTTACATGATCATTTCAATGCTGAAATTGTTACAAAAACAATAGAAAACAAGCAAGATGCAGTTGACTATTTAACTTGGACTTTTCTTTATCGTCGAATGACACAGAATCCAAATTATTATAATTTACAAGGTAATATTTTATTTATTTAAATGCAAAAATGAAATAAGTAGTTATTGAGAGTATTATTTTTTTCCAGGTGTTACTCATCGTCATCTTTCTGACCATCTATCAGAACTTGTAGAGAACACACTGAATGATCTAGAACAATCAAAGGTAAATTTATGTATTGATACAATTAGTTGAAAAATTTAAATGTTATTTATTGAATATATGATTTTAAAAATTTATACTATGTCAATATTTATATTTTCAGTGCATCAGCATTGAAGATGAGATGGATGTCTCTCCTCTTAATCTTGGAATGATTGCTGCCTACTATTATATCAATTATACAACTATTGGTAACTTTTGTTTCTCTTTAATTTCAAACTTATTTTCAATAATATGAAATGACATATTATTTTCTTCTAATAGAATTGTTCAGTATGTCTCTGAGTGCTAAAACAAAGATTCGTGGTCTCATTGATATCATAAGTAATGCTGCTGAATATGAAAGTGTACCAGTTAGACATCATGAAGACAGCATTCTCAGACAGGTTATTATTATTAATTTACATATATTCAATTTTATTTTGTGATATATATTTAATACATATTTTTAATATCTTTAGTTGGCTAATCGTCTATCTCACAAATCAAGCAATCCGAAATATAGTGATCCACATACAAAAACCAATTTTCTTCTACAAGCTCATTTATCTCGAATGCAGCTCTCTGCTGAATTACAGTCAGACACTGAAGATATATTAAATAAAGTAAGTATATTTTTTAATATTTGTACAAATATCTTTTATTTGTTAAAATAAATATTTATTCATACAAAAATATAGGCGGTACGTTTAATTCAAGCTTGTGTGGATGTATTGAGTTCAAATGGTTGGTTGTCACCAGCATTAGCTGCTATGGAATTAGCACAGATGGTAACTCAAGCAATGTGGAATAAGGACTCTTACTTGAAACAACTTCCTCATTTCACTACAGAAATAGTTAAGCGTTGTATTGAAAAAGGAGTAGAAACTGTGTTTGATGTTATGGAACTTGAAGATGATGATAGAAATAAATTACTTCAGTTGACAGATGCACAAATGGCAGATGTTGCAAGATTTTGTAATAGATATCCAAATATTGAATTAACATATGAAGTACAAGATAAAGATATTATTCACAGGTAAGATTTGATTTAATTTATAGTATATTATTCATAAGTAGAGTTTATAACAATTATCAGTTATGAAATTTCTAATTTTAATTTCTCACATATCAGTGGTTCCACCGTAAATGTAATAGTTCAGTTAGAAAGAGAAGACGAAGTTACGGGACCTGTCATCGCTCCCTTATTTCCTCAGGCATGTGATTTTTCTTTTTTTCACAATTTTACTGTAGTTACTACAGTAAATTTATTTATTGAGTTATTTAGAATTATTTAGCTAATATTGTGTTTAACTATTATAGAAACGAGAAGAAGGATGGTGGGTAGTTATTGGAGATCCCAAATCAAATTCTCTGATATCTATCAAGCGACTGACATTACAACAAAAAGCAAAAGTAAAATTAGACTTTGTGGCACCCAGTCCGGGTGAGCATGTTTACACCTTATATTTTATGAGCGATGCTTACATGGGATGTGATCAGGAATATAAATTCAACATTCATGTTGGTCAACCTGATAGTGGGAAAGAGAGTGATAGTGAAAGTGATTAAACAGATCTTCTTTCGTTCACACATTTGTAATGTAAATAGAGACATTTATTGTGTTGATATCATCAATTTTTTTTATGTAAATGGATACTCATTTGATTTTTAAAATAAATGTTTTTAAAACAAAATAAATTTGTACAATTTAATTTATAAGAAATTTTTTATTTATTAATAAATAAAATTATACATAATAACTATTCCTCTTCTAAGAACAAATCTATATTAGTGCATATTTTCTGATATTGGAATATCTGTTGGGAGAAAAAAAAAGTATTCCTTAAAATAAAAATTAAATATTAATGTCAAATATTTAAATGAAAAGCGTATTTTTAAAAGAATCTTTGCTAAATTCTAATATGTAAATATTAACGAATAAGCTGTTCTCTGCTTTGTGACTGCCGTACAATTTATTACAACAGTGATTGCTTACAGAGTATAATTTATGCACACTTTTCCAAATTGGCAATCTATTTTGAAGAAGGCAATCTGAACCGTGTGCTACTTAAATGTAACTGAAGTATACGAGTCTATTACGAATTATTAGTATATAATTTAACCGTATTATATTTTATTTGCACTTACCTCATAACGAAAGCGGAACTGAAGTGGAGAGAACGACTACCCTTTATAAAAGAACGATAACTAAAAATAGAAATCACAATTCCTTCCCTTATTTAGTTATCCGTTCCGGTAGCGTTTTCCAAACTGTACACGTGTTCGTCTCACTTTCTATAACCGGAACATGCCACGTGATTAAATTCGACTCGTTTATAAAACTTTATTCTTATAAATTTGTCAAATATTCCTGGTAAATTAACAAAGTATTAATTTCAGTACAAATTTAACAATTATAGTAACAAATTAAGGTCATTGAACTTTAGTCAAAATAAACGCTTTGACTAATTTTTTATTTTTAGCAATGTATGACACGATTTTAACCTTTATTATTTCATTTGATAACTTTTAACTTACTATATATAAAAGCATGTTTATTATTAAATTGTAAGAAATTAAAATATATTAATTATATAAAATATTGAATCGATTTGACAATTTTGACCATTGATCTTCAGTAAAGTTTCCAAATACTGTTTGTGATCGTTACGCTTCGTTTTTTTAACAATTTGGACAAAATGATGACCCCTCTTAAATGAACTAAAAAGTGAAATTTCATTTTTTTTTCTACCTGTTTGATTTTTTTATTACGTATTGCGTGTACTTTCGATACGCTCTGTCAGAGGTGCACCACATCTTATCTGCTACATCCAACGATAACTACGATTGAATTTCTATTATTAAATTTTTCCGGCAATTTCGACATAAGGTGAGCTTGGTTCGAATCGAAATGATAATTTTTCGTTCGATATATCACTTTCACTTCTCGTTTTCTGTTATTGATTTAATGAATTTAATACCAGAGTTATTGGTATGGCATTCGGCACAAAATATATGGATGGTTGTTATCTGGTTCGCTATGTGATCATCCGTATTTCTTTTGTTTCTTCCTAAATATTCCATATACTGTATATGGCATACCGTACAGCCCCCAATACTAGTCTCCAAGTAATTGCTAGAAAGCTACCTATCGACAGAATAATTAATTTGCATTGTGATACATGGGAGGTGAAACGGGAAAGATGTTACCACTGCCAACAATATTATACATGGTGTTGACCTAGAAAGGAAAATCCTTCTCACGTTTTACTTATCCTAGCACAAAACCCAATCTTCACTTTAATTCTAATCCCAACTCCAACGTTACTGTTTACACCGATGGCTCGAAGTGCTTAGACAATGTAGGATGCAGTTTTGTGGTTTACAGTACCTCAATAACAGTGAAATTTACTACCAGAAAATCCGTCTAAGCAACTACTGTTCTGTCTTTCAAGCAGAACTACAGGTAACCACAGTATAACACGGAGTTATGTTCCAAAAAATTGCCGTGTTATGCGAATCTGTGTTATACGAAACAAAGAACTAGTACGAAAAGTGGGATTAGGTTCCAAAAATTAAAAAAACGTGCTATTATAATTTCATAATTAAGATAAATATCTTTATTAAATTTTCTTAAGAAGTGATACATATTAATATAAATTAGTGTTGTAACGAATAGTATATTCGGCCTCAGGCCGAATACCGAATATTCGACCAGGAGCGTGGCCGAATAGCCGAATATTCGGCCAAACTATTCGGCTCGATTATCGCACGTACGAAAATTGGCGCGCAAACCGCATTATGGCAAGGACCCCGCTCTCTATTGGCCCGCTGTCACTACGCTTCGCCAATCGCATTAATTCTTGACAGTTGAAGCGGACAGACATGAGCGTCATGGCAGTATGTGATAAGTGATGATATCAAATGTGGATAACAATGAAATGTCCTACACGTGTAAATAACGGAGAAAGAACAGAGAAGGACCGCGAAGTGAAAATGTGAAAATAAATAAGAAATTCAGTTGATAACATAATCGAACAAGTCGAGGCTGCTTATTGGCACGAAATTCGCGGCCGTCAATGCCAAACAATTGTTGTCATAGACTTCGGAAAGCTAAATGCTTGTAATGAAAGTCACTTAGCGTGCACGGGCGAAAGCCTGGGGCCGTTCGGGCTATCAAGCTGTCTCGAATCTGTGAAATCATAACTGTGACTTATATCGACGTCCTATCTGTCTCTTTTCTCCGTTATCACCAGGCTGAGTCACGTAATTGTAAAATGGGAACTCTACGACGGAAAAGTGACGAATCGAAAGTATCGTGAGCGCGTATTATGATGTATGCACAGGCATACACGGATTAGAGCGATAGAGGAAAGAGAAAGGAAAGAGCAAAGACGAGCGCTTAAAAAGAAGGATAGGCAGGGTCAGACCCTCAGGTGTGCGAGGATTCTCCAACGATAGACGCGTGCGTGTGCTGATCTTTGTAATTATAAACTGTGAATACATGTGACTAATATTATTTTCTTTTTTATTTTGTGCATGTTACAAGTTATAAATAAATATAAACAAACAACACTAACTCTATGACATTAACTCCAAATACCAAAACGATTAATTTACTGTGTTTTTGTTATTTCTTACTCCTGTTTTTAGGTATTCTGTATTCGGCCGAATAATGAAAAATAGGCCGAATACCGAATAGTAACCGAATATTCGTTACATCACTAATATAAATTAAACAATGTTTTTTTCGTCATCACTAGACAGCGGATTTTAGGCAAATGCCTATTTTTTCCTTGGCATATACAGTACATGGCTAAGATTTTCTACTAACTACTACAGTGAAAATTTCTTCGATATCAAAAAATTTCTGGCCACTTTAGCAGAAATTGCAGTTTGTGTAACTAAAGCCAAGAAAATTTTGAATGACATTTATGTTCAGAATAAGTTTATGTACATCAAGTGTTATTTCACATTCATTGCATATACTATTACTGCTCTTGAAAGTAGTAGGAAACTTTCTGTTCATATAAAACTATATATGAACAAATTGATCTCCTCAACAGAAACTTTGTGATGCATCAGGTACTGCTGCAAAAAAAGTGAAGAAAGAGTTGAAAGCAGTGCTTCAAAAGAGACTCGGATTAAATTGCTTGTTTATTGTGGCTGATATTTTGGCAGGAAAGAAGAACAAAACTGAAAGTGAATTCCCAGTTCATCTTCCAAGGTTGAAATATTGTCCATTATCTTCAGTAGATGTGGAACACATCTACTGAAGATAATGGACAATATTCAACCTTTACAACAGAGAAAGACCATATAATCTGTTATAATTACAACAGAGAAAGACCATATAATCTGTTATCTTCAGTAGATGTGTTCCACATCTACTGAAGATAACAGATTATATGGTCTTTCTCTGTATATAAATTAATTCTCAGTGACAAACGTTGCAACTTTTCTATTGAAAATTTGGAAAAAGTGCTTGTAATATACTGTATTATGAAGCTAACTATGGGAAACAGAGCGAATAAAAATTGCAAAGATAATTATTTGTCTACTTTTGTGTTTGCATCATTCTGAATACGTGCATTTTTGTTTGGAATACATATGTTAAATAAAAAGTTTTCGTTTTGATAAGTAGGTTAATTGTTCATTGTGCAAATTTTGCACAATGAAGCCTAAACGACGCAATTTAAGAGCTTATTTTAAGCGCCTAAAACGCCACTTTTAAGGGCCTATATGTCCTCTGTCTAGTCATCACTAAGCAGTATTAACTGAGGGCGTTTTCTTTTTGGCAAGATATCGTTATCCTCTGAGCATTTTTCTGTATTGTCTTCAGATCCATGCTCTACCTTTTGCAAAAAAATATGTTATTTTAGATTGCTTGCTTTTAGTTAAAATATCTTTATAAATTTCCTTATGTGGTGTTCAGCAGCGTTGCCACAATGAAATTTCAAAACGTACTGAAGCTCCTTCAAAAAATGTACTGTTTTCTTTCAAAATGTACTATTTCTATGATCGGTTATTTTCAATATTGATATACCATCATACCCAATTATTGTGCTTATTTCAAATTCATATTCATGAATACTTTGTTAAATATGAATACTTTAATTAAATATTTCATAAAAAGATTTTATGAAAATAGTTCTATGGTTTTTTGTTAAACACAGCATTAAAAGTTGATTTTTTTAAAATATTATAGTGATGGATAAAAAAAAATTATAAATTAAATATGCGTAGACAGATTCAGATTAAAACAAATAATTTCTTTTACCGAGATTAATAAAATTGAAGTTCATAATTAAGAATTAAATTATAGTGGTAGAAAATAATATACAAGGTACCAATTGTAAACAAGGTATCATAACTACACCCACATTTTTTGTGCGAAAAGTACTGGTAACTATTAAACTAGATGTTCCTAATTGGATTTTTCGCTAGTGTCAAGAAATTTCGTCAATGTCCTCGTGAGAATGTGACACACGTGTGAAAAAGGACCACTGAGTCATAACATTTGCACTTGCAACTACAGTATCTGTATATTGTTGATGTCCACTGACATACACCATGACAGACTCTGGGCATACAGTATTTTGTTATTATTTTAATTATTTTTTCCATGTGGACATTAAAGGGCCTTTTCTTGCCCAGAGTCACAATGGCCAGATGGTGAGGGATGAGACTGAAT